TGTCATTGCCGAGCAAACATGTGACTGACTTTCCCAGGCGTTAGACACGAGCTGAAGAGTGAACAATGCAGCTCACTGTTGAAACATTTTTATGTCCTGCAGGTTCAAGGTGTTTGCTGACTACGAAGACTACATAAGATGTCAGGAGAGAGTCAGCGCGCTCTACAAGGTATGCTCTGCTGCTAGTGAGGTCATGTACACAAGTATTGTCCAATAAATGGCACCTGGCCTGTGACGCCCTCTCTATGTTAACAGAACCCTAAAGAGTGGACCAAGATGGTGATTCACAACATTGCTGGCTGTGGAAAATTCTCCAGTGACCGCACCATTTCTGAGTATGCCCGGGAAATCTGGGGAATGGAGCCCAGTCTGGAGAAGATCGCTGCTCCAGATGCCCCTCGCTAAACCAAACTACCTTCGTCCGTAGCTCAGCACGTGGTACGGCAGCCAGAGACAAACCCTGTAGCTTCTCACTGTGCACTGTGGCATTATTTCTTTACAGTAACGATCCCTGTACAACCTCAACCACTTCCAGTTCACCCTGTGCTAACTGGAGCTGAAATGGTCCACTGTGGATGTGTGACAAATTAAAGGAAAAAGCAGAACCTGCGACTCCCCCACTGAGGGCTGTGGAAGTATTTTACCTCCATGGGTTTGATCCACTTTTCTCTTTTTAAGGGGAAAGATTGTTGATCCTGAAAAGAGAGGGAATGATTTTTAGAAGTATGGTCTGCCATTAGTTCATTTCCAGAGAGTGGGAATCAGTGCCAAGGATTAAGGCTGTTGACGTCCCCTTAATAAATTATTTCATCACTTGTTTTTCCTTTAACTTGTTACATGTCTTTATTTTTCTTTCTTCACCAGTAGCATCTGTATCACTTGTACAAGTACTACTAGGCACTGAGCTGTTATATGTAAAGTGTAAACTGTAGGACGCATAACAAGTACTGTTCATTTTATTATTTTTACTAGTAGTACTTGTACTCCACTAACCGCAGATTATGAGAAAACTGGGAATGTGTTTGGTCACTACAGGATAATTGAGGCCTGTCTTTAACAAGAGCTAGACTACATTCCCTCCTTCCAAAAGCCAGCATAACTGCAGATAAGCCCGAGTCCTGTCACTGTTCCTGACCAGTCACGTCTTCCATGGAAGAGTGTAGCCTCCCAGCAGTACTGTAACTAAAAAGCATGTACCCGTGTTTCAGCACATGACTATTTCACGTTCACTGTCCAGCTGCTTGTCCAGTGTTGTACGATGTTAGCTGAATGTATTCATTTGTGTGTTTATTATAGTTGAAGTTTGGTAGCTGTGACATCCTGTCAGCATGTGTTGTCTTTGTGCTGTAGTCTGTTAGACATTGATGGTGCCTACTCTTTGCATACCTCTCTGGAACATGTGTGTACTCTCAGCTGTATTTGTGTGTAACATAGAAGAGTGATATTAAAAAAGCATTTATCATCAACTTTTTGACTCCTGGAGTTAATGTGTAATTCTGTTTGAAGAACGATTGGAGCAAAAATGAGGAGAAAGGAAAACGATGCATTCAAGGAAAATGTTCCAACATCTGTGAAGGGACCAGCATTTAAAAGTGAAAACACACACACGCACACTTTATCCTTTCATGCAATTCACACAATTTTCTGACTAAATCAACGACCAACTCCAATACTCTATTAGTTTATTTTGGTTTTCTCTTTTTCATTCCAAAGTGAGGAAGTTTGTCTTTTACAGCACGGTCAGCTTTTCCCTATTTTCTGAAATTCTGATATTTTTTTTCTTCCTATTTTTCATTAGCACTAACCTTTAAAGTCAGTTTCTAAAACTGACTCAACAGCAGTTGGACTGCCGATTAAACTTAGGACGTCACTTTAGTCTCGTGACTTGCTTAGATAAGATAAGATAACCTTTATTAGTCCCACACGTGGGAAATTTGTTTTGTCACAGCAGGAAGTGGACAGTGCAAAAGTTATGAGGCAAAAATTAGGATACAATAAGAATAAATACAGTACACAACTGTACAGAATAGAATAAATAAAATACTATATACAGTAGAATAAAATAAAATAAATATACAATAAGATAAAAATAGAATACAAATACACAATTAGCTGCAGTTTTGCTGATTTTTTTTTTATTTTTTTATTTTTTATTCTCCAGTCTTTCTCCTGAAATAGTCCACCCATACCTCCTCCAAGATAGTTCAGAGTTTACTACTCTCTACAAATTTTTTTTTTTTTTTTTTTTTTTTTTTTCGCCTGTCCCATTTGGTTCTTTAGCCATCAGAATTGTTGTCTGAAGACCAACAAGGATACCCAATGGATTTACTTTGCCAAATGGATCATCGTGGCATTGCCGTATTGGTCCATTTGGTCGATCTTTGTTTTTATTATTTATTATATTTTATTTTCAGATGTTACAGACGGGACAGACATGAGTGAGAGATAGGAAAGGGAGAAAGAAAGAGGAAGGAAAGGAAAAACAGAAGGGGAGAGGGACAGTGAGAAAGGGGGGGAGAAAAAAAATAAAAATCTCCTGGATCACCTGTTGAGAGAAGAATAGAAAACAAGCAAAAAAAGACAAAAAAAAACAAAAAACAAAGCAACATACTAAACACAACACCATCGCATTAATCTAGCTAAGTGTAAACAGCAGTAAATACTAAATATTCAATGTTGTTGTGCAGCACGCAGGACAGATGTGCTTCGAAGTAGCAGCCAAGAAAGGTGTAATTTGGGTCTACGAGCAGTGAACACCCGTGTGCATACCTGTGTGGATCAGCATGCTTGTATTCCAAAGGTTTCTCCATGTAACGATCTGCTAGGGAGTGTGGGGGGGCCACAGCCCCGTCCTCCAGGGTGTGAAGCAGGTATGGAGGAGATCGAAACTCCAGACATCCAGAGGCCCCCAGAACACAAGAGACCAAGGAAGACCAACAGAGGGGCAGCCGCGCCACTGTCCCAGAAAGAGCTGAGGAGAGTCCCAGATGAGGGCTCACTCAGCAGCCGCGGAGCAGAAGCCAGGGGGAGTTGCAGTGACGCGCCCGTGAGCTCCGCCGGCAGCCAGCTGTGCCTGAGTGACCGAGCCCCAGGCCGAGAGGCCGGGGGCACCCCACCTCCGAAGTGGCCCGAGCGAGCCCCAGGCTCCAGGCCCCGATAAGCGGCCGCCAAGGAGTGAGCCGGTGTGTACCTGGACGCCCACCCCCAGACACAAAGAACCACCAACGCACCGACACCTGAGGGAGTCCGCCACCGGCAGGGGAAGTGGTGGTGGGTGGAGATAGGCCTCCAAACCTTGGAGGGCCTGAGGTGTCCCCAGAGAGGTGGCGTCTGATACCCAACCTGACATATAGACACAGACATACAGGCACACACAGACACAAACATCCATTCCCACCCTCATGCTCTCATATGCACTCACTCCACACTCAACCAACGTGGAGACAGACATAAAGAGACGCTGTACACACGATCACACTCCCCAAGCGTACTCTACAAACCGGGTCTAGGTACCCTTGCCCCTGGAGGGGGGAACTGCACCCAGACCCAGGTGGTGTTACCCTTTTCCCTGCGGTGGGGAGAGGCAGACCACCCCGACTCCGTAGCAGCAGGGAGGCCCCACACTCCAGACCGCAGTCGGACGGCCAACTCCACCTAGCCCTCCCGCTCCAGCAGGCCGCAGAGAATGGGGGTGGGAGAAGACTCCAAACCTCCCTCCACCCGCTCATTGTAGTGTTGATGCATGTGTGTTCTAAGGTGCAATTAAAACCCAGGAGGGCATGGAGCTACCTGCCAAGGAGCAGCAGGTAAGCGCATAGTCCCTCCTGCTAGCCCTCAATGTCTAAGTGTATTTAAAATTGAGAGGTGGGCAACGACGCCTCTCTACAAATTTCCAACAAACAGGAAGTGGGAAGCTGTATGTGTGTTTTAACAAATTCTTAATATACACCACAAAAACAGTAAATGTACTTATTCTAGCATATTCTTATGTTATTATACTTACTGTATATTGTGGACTTCAGGAAGCACACAGCCCCACTCCCCCCCATCATCCTGACTGACACCCCCATCACCTCTGTGGACTCATTCCGCTTCCTGGGTACCACCATCACCCAGGACCTGAAGTGGGAGCCCACCATCACCTCCGTCATCAAGAAAGCCCAGCAGAGGATGTACTTCCTGAGGCAGCTGAAGAAATTCAACCTGCCAACACGGACGATGATGCAATTCTACACTGCAATCATCGAGTCCATCCTCACCTCCTCCATCACCGTGTGGTACGCTGGAGCCACTATCAGGGACAAACAGAGACTGCAGCGTGTTGTGCGCTCTGCTGAGAAGGTGATTGGCTGCAGACTCCCATCTCTGCAGGACCTGTACACCTCCAGGACACTGCGGCGTGCAGCCCGGATCTCAGCTGACCCTTCTCACCCTGGACACAGTCTGTTTGACCTGCTCCCCTCAGGCAGGAGGCTCCGGTCCATTCGCACCAGAACCTCTCGCCATAAGAACAGTTTCTTCCCCTCTGCTGTTGGACACATGAACAATAACCGTATGACTGTTCCCACCACTAACACATGACCCTACGCTGTGTTCACTGCATCATTCCATGTTTGGCACTGATCACCACCTGCACTCATGTATATATCTATCTACTTAGCACTTTTAATTCTATTTTTATTTTCATGTCTATTTAAGCGTTATATGACAGTATGTTTGCACTAATCACCGCAGCAATTTCCTAATGTTGTAAACCTGCTCAAAATTTGGCAATAAAATCCTTTCTGATTCTGATTCTGATTCTTATACATGCTGATTTATTATGTGGTGGGCTTACACTGGACCTTAAATCTCTTCCTGCTGACCCTCCCACATCTCCGTGGCTGACAGTTGTCAATCACGGCCTGCCTCCTCCTTCCCTCACAGCTATTATATTAAAGGCTCATTCCCCGTGTGATCCCTATTTACTCCACCTGATCCTCAGTCTCACACACACTGAGATGGATGGCAACACTTACGGTAAGACACCAACATCTCTCTGTTCTGTGTTTTATCAGAATGAATGATTTTTACTTTGAATCTTTTTATTGTCTGTCAACATGTCTAATACATTATGTTAGACATGGCTGATATTATAACACAAAACTTTATTCGCCTTTGCATTTATAAGCAGCATAGAACCAATAGCATATTAGAAAAAAGTGTATTTGTTCATAATTTGTTTACTCTCAAACTAAGAAGATCATTCGGACTGACAGCAAAGTGGAACAGTCCCCCATCATACAAACACAAACCAGCGTCTCTCACTGTGCATCCTGTAGCTGACTCGCATCACTTTTGGCTGACGATCTAATAATTTAGTTCATGCTGATTAATGTGATGACAATGTCTGGGAGGTTTTAAACAGCTAATACAGTGCTGTGCAAAAGACTTGAGTCCCCCCTCCATGTGTTGCTAGAAAAATGGGGATATCGATGCAGTGATTTATTGAATAGTTCTCCAGAGCTCTTCTTTGGATGTTTCTGTTCTCTGTCAGGATTATCCCACACTGTTTTAATAGTAATAATAATAATAGTAATAATATAATGTTGAGCTCTGGGGAGGCCGGTCCATGAACGATGGTGCTCCACTGTGTTCTCTCTGCAGCTCTGCTTTCACTGCACTGATGGTGTTTTCATAATGATACTTTTCTGAATTCATCATTTCATCAATTTTGACAAAAACCTCCAACACCACTGTCTGAAAACCAACAACAAAACATGACAGAGCCTTGTTGCATTTTAAAGATGACTGCAGGCATACATACGTATTGATGGTGATTTAAATCAATGTTCACAGTTGGCTTCATTCCCCCATCAAACCGGCTGCCACTGATTTTCAGTCCAATTTCTGTGAAATTAGGTGAACTTCATCAGTATGCGAGACAGCCGTCCTTCTGGCTCCAGAACAGCAGATGGGTCAGATGAAGGTCCTGGGTCAGGTGCTATTTCTTAAGGACACGAGTTTCAGACATTGTTCATTTGCTGTCCTTTCTTTTTAGGCCACCTACTTCGGGGCTCTACTTTAATTTGTCTGACATGCTGCACAACATGCTGAGATAAACCAAGTTACCAAGAAAAGAAAGAAAATGATATTTTCATCAGGTTGCTGGTAACAAAGTGCCTGAAAATACTATTTAAAATTTCTTGTGGCAAACAAAAAAGTTCATCTGAAAATGGTGAGGTTCAGGTTTATTGTGTATTTTTGTGTCTTTTCCTTACAATTTAAAGTGGCTTCAGGTGACTGTTGTTTTGATCTGGTGCTATATAAATCAAATCAAATTTAATTTAATAAAATAAGGGAGAAAAAAAAGAAGAAAAAAAAAGAGCATCACCTAAAAGAAAGTCTGGGTCCTTAGAAATAAAAAAGAGAGGGATGGCTCAAGACTTTTGCACATAACTAACTTATATTCTAATTGTGTAGCTCATACATACATAAACGTGTCATCATAATAAACTTAATCTCTGTAGATTAGCTTTATTACACCATGTATGAAATAACTGAATCAAAAGTTGTGAAATATTTAATGATAGGTCGTCTTTAATGTGTTGTAAAGAGTAAACATAACTTTTGTTCCAGAGTTTGATGTCCTAGAGGTCCCCCCCCTCACCCCAACCAGTAAGGAGGTCTTCACTCAGGCTGTGAAAGCCAGCTTTGCAGGCTTCACTCAGGAGAGAATCAGCTGTCACTTTCCACAGGGTACAGTGGGAGTGGGAGCTTTGATTAGTTGTCACGTGTTGCCGACTCTATTATTAATGCATGTGCATGTATATTTAGATCCTAGGTTGTGGTCGAAGTGGGAGGTGAACCACTGGCTGGACTGGTGCCAGGCTGAGTTTGGGCTCTGCTGCCTGGGCTCAGACCTCAGAGGTCTGGATGGCAGCGAGCTGTGTGGTCTTGACCAAGAGGCTTTCCTGGGCCTGCTGTCTGACTCCACTGCAGGAGAAATCCTGTGGGAGCACCTGGAGACCATGAGGAGAGGTGATAGCACTTTTATTGAAAAGCACAGAGTTAGCTTTCTAGCCACATTGTTTTCTATCATTGCACAAGAATGGTGAAGAATTCAAAACTCTGAAATTTTAAATGGTCAGTTCTCTTTGCACAGTCCTTTCTCTCAGCAGGTCATTATATGGCATTTCAGACAGTGTTGAATAGATGTGCTGAGCCACATACTACCACCTGTATATGTTTGGACTATGAAAAAAAATAGAACTGCTTCAAACTTGATACTATTACTATCATCAGTGAAAAAAAAATATTGATATATGGAACAGAGTGAACTGTATGCATAGTTCATTCACAGATGCATTCATACTGATTGTGAATAAAGCCCATTGTCACTGAGAGAATGTGACTGCTCTTCTTCATTAGCCATCTGCACGCACCACCCAACTCTAAGCTTGAGACTTTTGTTGTTTTGTTGTCGTGTTTCCTTCAGAAAATTACTCAGAGATTGAGGGATGCTCAGACAGAGATAATTACCACATTCAGTACCATCCCAGTGAGAGCTCAGACCTCCACGATCTGGAACCAATGAGTGTGCAGCATGGAGGCCACTATCCAGCCTATTCACGTGACAGCAACAACATTAGCTCTGCAGCCCCGCTGCAGGAAATACGAGGGAATGGAGGTGAGACAGATCACATGATAATGAGTCATCAGTTGAATAAAAAGCATTACAGTCAGAATTGCTCCACAAAGGGAAAAAGACCCAATATGGACAAAAGTAAGTGAGCCACATACAGTTTTAGAGCTGATGTTAATGCCAGAGGAGCTTACTGAGTGAGCAGAGCATTTATGTGGGCTGGCAGGTGCTGTGGCTCGTAACACATCCACTTTGCAGTTAGAGGACTTACAGCTGACGTGGAATATAATAATCGTTTCATGGTCGATGGGTCTTGGAGCCAGGGTTGTGAGTTTTTGAGGATCACTTGTGTTTTAGCATTGCTCTTTAGGAAAATGGTTGCTATTTCCCTTTATACTTTCATTATCTTCCAGCAGTGTGTTTGGATCTTTAGTTATGTTCTTGTTGAGCCCACGTGTCTCTGTTATGTAATATTTCCCTTCTTGTGTGCCCAGTTGTGTGTGGACATCTCTGTGTCTTGTCTCCGTGGTTTTCTGGTTTCCCCATTACTTGTGTCGTGTTTGTATGTCTTTGTCCTGGACTCAGTCTTATTTTATTTGTTACTTATCTCCTGTGCACTGTCTTTAGTTTTGCTTCCTTTGCCTTGTTTCCCAGTGAGTTTCAGGTGTGTTCCTTGGTGTTTCCATCTCCCTGTGTACATATGGTCTGAGTCTCCCTCTGTTCTTTTCCGTGTCCTCCCTGCAGCTGTGTGTTCTGTGTTTCATCCTTGTGGAAGGAGGCTCTGGACTGTGCTCCGACTAAAGCTCTCTTCTTCAGTTAGTTAATTTTAGTTACTTTATTACATCAGCTCATTTTTGGAAGACTGTAGACTAATCTACAGTTTGATATGACCACTCAGTTGAGCTGGCAGACATCACTTGATTCTGTTTCCAATGTGTGTCCAGGGACAGGCTCAGAAGTGGAGAGTGTTCTTGGGGATGAGTCTGCCGCTGTGGGCACTCAATCATGGGCTGCTCCGCACCATGACGTCCAGCCAGTAATGGAAGAGAGCATGTCTGAAAATGCCTTCATGTTACCTCAGCAACAGAGGAACTTCAGGGAATGTGCAGGCAGCAAAACTGATCTGGAGACAGCTGTAATACCAGTAGCAGTTCTTGCTGGCTACACTGGTGAGTAGAGTGGCTGAAGGAGGTAAACGATAAGGTGTAGCCATGAGGTAAGCATACTCATTTGTTCTGTTATGTCTCAATAGGCAGTGGGCCCATTCAGCTCTGGCAGTTTCTGCTGGAGCTTCTGACAGACCGCAGCTGTCAGTCGTGCATAAGCTGGACAGGAAATGGCTGGGAGTTCAAACTGACGGATCCTGACGAGGTCATTAATGCTGAGTTCACAACATATCAGGATATATACCTGCATGAGTAGAGCATGAAGGGCCACATTTCAATTAGGGTATTTTTCACTTTGTAATGGCATATTTGTAACCTCCACATGTTCCACTCTGCAATGAAAGCACCAAAGAACCTTCTTCTATGAGCTGACATTGCTAACTACTGCTTCAATATTGGTCATTTAGAAATCATCATGTTGCTGTTATAAAAAGGAAACACGAGGCTTATTCTGCTGGTGTTTACATGTGGATTATTTCTTCAGGTGGCACTGCTGTGGGGTCGCAGGAAGAACAAACCTAAGATGAATTATGAGAAGCTGAGCCGTGGTTTGCGCTACTACTATGACAAGAACATTATTCGCAAAACCGCTGGCAAGCGCTACGTCTATCGCTTCGTATGCAACCTGCAAGGCCTTCTTGGATATGAGCCTGGGGAGCTGCATGCCACACTGGATATCAGCAGTAAGAGTCTATAGTGAGGCAAGAAAAAGGAACAGTACTTGTTAAGCGTCTTATAGTTTTCACTTTACATGACACAGCTCAGCGCATATGCTTGTTTGACGACATGGAAGTGGTGTACCACTTTATCTCTGTCACTGTCAAATAATAGAAATCAATTCATGTCAGTTCATTTTAAAAGTTATTTATTCCTCTGTGAATAGTTAAGGCACATGGACTCGTTTAGCAATCCTTTGTATATTTAACTTATACTATAAACATCAATTAAAAGAAATAAAATCAATGAAACCGTAAATGAATTACAGCTGATTTCTATCTGCTTCATCTCAGAGAAACATTCTCATTCATTCCTCTTCTTTTGCTTATCCAGTTCAGGGTCAGCGACGGGCGGCAGTCAATTCCAGCTGCCATAGGTTGAGAGGAAGGACAGAGCCAGGACAGGTCATCAGGCAGGGCTAACACAGAGTGCTATATTGCAACAACAGTTGCCTCAAGGTGCTTTATATTGGTAAATGGATGGGTTCTTATATGACATCTTTCTATCATACTCCATACAACAAACCTTAACCATTCAGACAAGCACGTTTCTCGACACCTAAGTGCTTTCTAGCTAACATTCAAATCTAGTGGACACCTCGGAAAGCAACTTGGGGTTTACTTAGAAATCGAATGCAATTTGACCCTCAAAGGGACTTTTTTGTTAGGGAGGATTTATTTGTTGTTGAGTTCAGTGTTAAAATAAGTTCTTTAAAAAGCCAAAATATGCCAGATTGAATATGAAGGGGACATGAGCAGAGAGCACAAACATGCTGAGGGATCGGCTCTGTTAGTTCAGTGAGAGAGTCACAAACTCATGTGTAACCTTATGTCTGCATTTTTAATTTGTTAAATACAAACACAATGATAGCAGAAGTGCTGCCACATGTCTAACCAGAAAGCGAGGACCAACGTGTTTATTTGGTAGTTCAACGAAAGGCTTCAGTTAAGAGGGAGGAAAAACATTTGCGTTCACGTTTGCAGTTTTCTCTTGTTACACAATATTTTACATTTTAAAAAACAAACAACCCTCACATGAGATGACAGTGCTAGCAGTGGCCCACAGCTCATTTAAGTTTGAGACGCCTTCCCTCTTGGTGACAGTGGGAAGGAAAAACTCCCTTTTAACAGGAAGAAACCTCCAACAGAGTCAGGCTCAGGGAGGGGTGACCATCTCCCAAGATCAGCTGGGGGTGAGGTGAGGAAGACAGAACAAAGACACACTGTGGAAGAGAGCCGGAAGTGAATGATAACTGTCGAGAACACAGGGACAACCCACACAGAGAGACTGTGATTGGCTGTGAGTGGACAGTGCTCCCTAATGTGCAGCCTGGAGGAGCCCGTCTCTGCCTACCACCCACTTTTATTCCGTCACAATGAAACGAGTATCCTTTTAATCACGTTAAAAGGAGAAATAAATAAGAAGATGGCATTAAAACAAGGAGGGAGAAACAGTTATGTAAGAAAAAGAAATGAATCTAGTGAATTTAAAAAGAAAGAAGTGCTGTTCTGATTCTCAGTATGAGATGGACACAAAGCTTTAAATGACTGAAAACACATTTCAGCTGACTGAAACTTAACAAAAAGGAAAAATCAGACTTTAAAATACTCACTGAATGGCACCATATCAATGAATTTCCTTCTCAGGAAATATTTTTAGACTGACTGTGAGTCGGTGACCTTACATGTATTTTCATTTTCCTGAATATATTATGACTTATCTGCCACCCCAGAAGCTAGACTAAAATGCAAACAAGTGGAACATAGTAAGTATAATGCCTCTGAATGTAGCAGATCATTCACCACACACCCCTGACAGCATCAAGCATCAGGTTTAGATCAGAAATGGCTGAATGCTGATTTAATTTCATCCCTCAGAGAACAGGAAACAGAAACAGAGCAAGAGTGTCAAGTGTGTGAGGATTAATTCCACCACTTACCCTCCTGAGGTGTGCTAATGGAAGAGCCATCAAGGGGAAAAGTGTGTGTCTTTGTCTGAGCCTGAGTGTATGAGGATGGATAATTTATTCAGGACAGAGCAAGTGTATGTTCATGTGACATAAAACCTGGTGTTTTCTACCAGATACATTTCTCTTTAAGAGCTAATTATGACTTTATGCTTTCCTTTCAACCCTGAGAGTTTCTGAATATGTTCGCCCTGGAAGGAGTGTTTGAATAGAGTTTGGTTACATAAAGCTGCTTGGCCAAAAGGTTATTACAAATTAAGTCAATAAATATGCAAAGGCAAAAACAGGTTGCCCAAGTTGGTCCTGCTCAGCAGAAAGACCAAAGGAATACACCACCTGAAATTAACACTAAGTAGAAATCTCTGAGCGGAAGATGAAAAGCTTTTTATGTTAACACACGTTACAAACTGGCCTTGCAAACAAAGCTCCTCACAATGACTCAAACCACTCTGAAATAAATCTGCTCAAGTAGGAGTGAAAAGGCAAGAAATCAATAACCTAGCCCTGAAATGTATAACAGAGGTTAAATTAGAAGGCCTGATTTCTCTGCAGGAGCTGACGAGTCTAGCTAACCACACACAAATGCACTGCACTTCACCTGTGCACTGACGTGAAAAGCAAAGAGAGTTGGCTGAGCAAGAGTGAATACATCAATTAGGCTCCATCCATTTAGTCCACCCACCACCAGCTGATCCTTGGTAAAAACAAACAAAAACACAAAAAAACACCTCCTGACAGCGATTCTGAGATCCCACCGTACCCGAGTCCATGAGAGGAATCATGTGGTGAGCTGCTGGAACCACTATGGAGCTTGTGCAGCTTGCACGTATTCACAGTGAGAACTTCACATCACTGGGAATTTGGACTACAAGATGCCCTTTTATTATTTAGGGAGGGTTCAGATTGACTCTCTACCAATATTATGTATTATAGTTTGTAATACCACCAACTGCTGGTCAGATCTCAAAGTAGCTTGGCTGCTCTGCTTGGTTTTAGCTACTGGATTGTATGTACGGAGGCTGCATGTTGGCCCTAACCTTTGATGCAACACATGTTGTGTACCAGCATACCTACTGTATGCCTCATAAAGACTTCAAAGCTGTGGATAAAAAATATTAAACCTCTGAAATATGTCGGCATCTGTCTGTTTTTGTATTTTGTCCTTTTTGTCTCCCCAGTCTGTCATGTCTCTCCGTATCCCTGATCCCAGTGTCACATTCATGTTTCTTAGTCTGAGTCTCACTGTGTGTGTGTGTTACTTCCTGTTTTATTCTGTCCTTTGTGTGTGATGTTCAGCTTTGCTCCGCCTGTCTCATTAGCTGTGATTCAGTTCAGCTGTGTTCCCATGTGTATATATTGTCTGCATCTCCCTCTGTTCCTCATTGTGTTCTCCCTCATGATGCGTACCACCTCTGCTTGAGTGTAGCTTTGTATTTCTCATTGATTACTGTACTGTTGATTCTGACTGATCACTGTAACTCTCTCTATTTAGGCATGTGTCACTCAAGCCTGTCCCGCCCACAACCAGAAAGAGAGAGAGTATTACTCCGATACTTGCATCTCTACATTGGCTGACAGTTAAATATAGAATTGATTTTAAGGTTTTATTATTTGTTTTTAAACCTCACCATGGTTTGGCTCCAGGTTACATTTCAGATCTCCTTAGCCTACACCTACCCACTCGAACTCTGCGCTCCTCCAGTCAGACGCTTTTATTATTTCCATACTCCCAGTTCAAATCTAGAGGTGACAGGCTTTCTCCATTGCCGCCTCGAGACTCTGGAACAGTCTTCCCTCTTCCTCCTTCTTCAAATCAAATCTGAAGACCTACCTATTTTCCAAGGCTTTCAGATCTCTCTGACACCTATTTTATTCTGTTTTATTATTCTGGTCTTTTATCTCATTTGGATGATGTTTGCATGTGTATACTTATACATGTATTTTATGTTCATGTATGTGTGCTTGTGTGTGAATGTGTACACTTTTGTATATGTATGTGCATATTTGCATGTACACATATATTTTTACAAACATATATGGATGTCTCACAATCTTTTCTATAATGTTTTGATCTTATCTATTTTAATTATTTTTATTTGATTATATTATCCCTCTGTTCGGCACTTTGGCCGACACTTGATGTCCTTTAAATGTGCTATATAAATAAAGATCACTTGACTTGACTTGATGTTCTCTGCTTTTTGATAGCAATAAAGCTGTGATTTTGACTGTTTGCAGAGTCCTGCATTCTGCCTGCCACATGACATGCTTGTGTCACGACAGTATCATTAGCTAAAAAATGGAGAGAGGTGGAGGAATCTTTTCAGAACTGTTCCTTTAATGCAATGGCACACTATAAAAACACCTCTACACATACAAAAATATACTAGCATATTAAAAATGTCATAAGCCTAAAAAGTCTTCATCTGAGACCCTTTTTACCTTTAAGAAGCTGTTTTATACAGCATCACTCGTTTAAAAAATGCTCAATATCGTATGCTAACTTTACCCACTGACTTCACCAAGTACTTTATACTTAAACACCAAAAAATGTATAAAACAAACAGAAACAGAAAAATTCAGATGGAAAGATTTTATTATTTCTTTGAATCTATTTTTATTTGAGAGCACATGATCATTAATAGCTTAGTCACAAGTTCAGGTCAAAAGCATATCAGCCAGTAAATATGCTCACACACAAATAGTGTCATGCTCAGGTGAGCACCTAATGCTGTGTGAAAAGTGCGTGAAACCATGAAAATATGATTAGAAACTACTGACTTATTGTTTCTCTCTCACAGTCTTTAAGGCAGATTTGAGACCTATGTACGAGTTTCAAATCACTGTAACAGTACTCCACTTAAACCACACATACTCCAAGTGATTTTAATCATTTATAACCTATTGTTAGAAAAAGTCTCTTATGAAGTGAGACACAGTGAGACACAGTAGCGAGCTCCAACGCATTTATTTACTTGAAAGGAAGGAAAAGCATACACAGTGAACGTCTCTGCAAGTTCCATTTATACACTCCTTCCAACGTTATCTTGGGAACATACGTGTGTGACGCTCTTACAGGGTTTGATTTGATTATGATTCATTAATCATAATCAAATACTTTATTAACTTAAAGAAATTATGTGGTTACAGATTCTCTAACGGTATAATCTTGTTATTTTCACTGTGGAGGATGTGCAAAAGGGCGTGACTACTGCACTGTGTACTGTGCATTACACTGAGGAGTCGTACAGACAAATATTCACAGGCAGGAATGATTTCCTGTGTCATCCAGTGGTGCATTTGTGTAATCTCAGTCTCTCACTGAATGTGCTGGCATGTCACGGAGTGGGTGGAAGGTACTGTCCAACGTTGTCCTTATCTTGAACAACATCCACCTCTCCAACACCACCCCAGCTCCATCCCCCACAATATTACTGGCCTTGCAGAACCAGTTTCTTGATCCGCACTTGATCTTGGCATTTATGGCCCCTTAACTTGCAACATCAGAGGATGGCACTGACCACAGCAGACTCGTAGAAAATCATGAGCACTTTCTCACAGATGTTAAAAGACCTCAGCTGCTCTGACCCTTCATATGCCCTATGTGTACTCTAGGGTATTTACAGTCCTCCACAATGTCCAAGGGGAGAGGTCCCTTGTCCCTTGTGGTGCCCCTGTGTTGCTGATCACCTTGTCAGACCTTGTGGTCTTCCTGTCAGGTAATCAACAATCCACAATTTTGTTGTATATGTACAGTCAAGGACGAGCCTTTCTAGGATCTTCATGACGTGCAAAGTCAGTGCCACTGGTCTGTAATCCTGGGGGTCATCCCCATATGACATATAACAGCACTGCTCCTTAAAATACTTGAATCAATATAAGTTTAGGATTTAATCACATCCTTAAAATGACACGCTCACCATTACATAAATCACATGTACACCATAGTTGGAGTTGGGGAATGGCTGCAATAGCAGTATTGTGAGATGGTGAACGGTGTACCTTTATGATCAATGATCTTCTTTAATAAACTGTTCACCATCACCTCACCTTATCTAATGATATGCACTGATGAGATAAACTACATACTGACTTGAGGTGAAAGTTTACTTGATTTTGTGCCATATAAATAAAATAAACAGAATAAATTATATATAAATTATGAGCCTCGCCTCTGTCAGTGCGCCCCAGGGTGGCTGTGGCTACATGTAGCTTGCCATCACCAGTGTGTGAACGTGTGTGTGAATTGGTGGATGACTGAATGTGTAAAGCGCTTTGGGGTCCTTAGGGAGTAGAAAAGCGCTATACAAATACAGGCCATTTTTACCATTTACCATGTTCTGCAGTGGGCATTTGTAACTTCATTAAATGTATTTATTATGATTTATTAGCAATAAAAAACATGATGTTGTGCTGTCAAAACAGCAGAGAGTCCAATAAAAATGATTCAACAGAGACAGGAGGAAGCATCAAAGAGTTTTATTGCCAGTCGATTAAAGAGAATTTAAGAAGTGTATCCGTTCTACATATCCAGTGAGTGTTTGTGGCAACAACGTGATACAGTGTTTGTGTGTCATTGTGAATTCTGTTTCTTCCACTGTTCTGGTGTGAGGGTCTTCTGTTCAAAAGCATGGATCTCTTTCAGCTCCTCGGCTAGACAAGTATTCACCATCCTGCCAACACACAGTACACACAGCACAGTGACATGACGAGCTTTAAGGCTGCAGAAACAGCTAGAAAGGAGTTTCACTGAAACCCGCACAGACGTATAATCTGAGCAAAAGTCCTGCGTTACACTTCATTTCTTTATATTTTGCTAGGAAAATAGAAAATATTTGCTGTGGTTTATGGAAATCTGCAGACATATGTTGCACAATTCTAACCAGCTTGAAAGGCAACGCTGAACACTCTGAGGCTGCTTCAGGTCATTTTCAGGAATAGTTGCCCTTCATGAAGGAAATTCAAAGCTCTTCTTCGGAGGTTTCTGCCTTTGTTCTGTTCTGTGTCAGGATAATCCCACACAGCTTCAATAATGTCGAGCTCTGGGAAGGCTAGTCCATGACTGACAGTGCTCCACTGTGTGTTCTTCTATCCAGGTATGATTTAACTGCACTGGTGGGATCATTGCCATGCTCCACACCACTGGCTAGAGCCTCCACTGTGTTTTAAAGATGACTCTACACACTCACAATGTTGAACCTCTCTCCCCACCTCCTCTGTACATACCGATGATGATTTGAAGCAAAAATATACAATTTTGTTTCTCTTTTTGTTTCATTTCCTGTTAAAATTGCTAATTTTTTAAAGGACTCAAGCCATACAAAGTCTTGCACTAATAGCCATTAAGGAATCACTTGGTATTTGCAAAAATACTTGTTTTTTTATTGTTTACATTTTTCATATATTCAATTAAAGTAATTGGAACAAAATATATGTTTTTGCAGTACGCTACTATTAAAGTGTCTAAAGACACAATATAAAATTCTTTGCCTAGTTTTCTGTTACATGTAGCCATAACACAGGTTCATCCCTTGAGCCTTTTTTACAAACAAATAAACCATCCACAGCTTTGTTTTGTCATCAGCACCTCATGCGTACACACTGGCACATGTGTTATTACCTGTGTCTCTGCAGCAGTGGTTTGTTCTCAAACTGGGGCGAAACCACCAGCACTTTGAAGCTGGCAGCACATCTGTTGGCTGATGTATCCTCCACCTCCTGGTTAAGCACAAGATCAAGTATGTGAGTACCTTTACTTAAGACAAATAATCTAAATACTTCTATAAAAATACATTTCAAGGTCATTATTACTCATCCTTTATTATAAAAAGGTAGATTTGCAGTAGTTGTGTGAAGTGAAACTATTGAGTATCAAGCTGCAACTAACATTTTCATAACCAAATGATGTGCTCATATTATTTGCTGCATTAATCAATTCATTGTTTGCATTGTTTAAAAACAGTGAGATAGCATCACCATTAGCCAGAAGCCAAACTGACACCTTACTGTACGTCTGTACTTCCTCTGAAATATACTGGTTTATGTGCCATTAGAAAAAGAACTCATGTAAAGTATGAAAAGTACACTGATGTAAGCGTACCTTCTTTCATTCCAGCAATGCACATTATTACAACATAGTGTCAATAATTACAGCTCTGATTTTTTCATGGTAGTTTCATTTTAACAGAGGCAAAAATACATTACATAAAAGTTATAAATTGATTTGTGTGTCATGTGTAAAACATGAGTGAGTGGTGGTGAAACCCTTGTTGCCTAAAAAAAAAGCTTGTAGTTGGTCACCAGGCTTGCACACATCTCATGAGACATTCTGGCCCAATCTTCACAGAAACTCTCAGCTGTTTAGGTTTGTTGGCTGCTGTTTCAGCTCCATCCACAGATTTTCTATTGGAGTCCTGGAGACTGGCTATGCCACTCTATGACCTTAATGTTCTTCTTATTTAGCCACTCCTTTGTTGCCTTGGCGGTATGGTTTGGGTTAGTGTTGTGATGGAAGACCCATCTTCAATGTTTTATGATACATGGTCCTGCCCAGAGGTGGAAAGTAATGAAGTACAAATGCATAGGTTAAAAGTATATTTAAGTACAGTACCAATCTGTACTTCAGTATTTATTTTTCTGACAACTGTACTTTTACTCCCTACATTTTTAAACAAATATCTGTACTTTCTCTACACATTTTCAAAACAGACCAGTTATTTCAGGTTCGACAGGATCATCTCTTATACTCGGGATTTTAAGTGGGCTGGAAAGTGTGCAGGTGTTTGTATGTTGAAGCCTTAACACAAAACACCGTCAAAGTATAGTGTTTCACCCTCCATGCTTGGTGTTCTTTGGGTCATACTGAGCATTTCTCTTTCTCCAAACATGGTGAGTCGAATCGAGGCCAAAAAGCTAAATTTTGGTTTCACCCTATTACTGCGCTTTCTCTCAAGCCTTCTCTGAATTATTTAGATGTTTCCTTCCTTCTTCAACCCAGATTTCAGTCTGTTACAGCGTAGTGTGTTTTCCAAGTGGTGTTCCAGGTGGCCTTGGTCCTACCTACCCTTGAAATCATCGACTCCTTCTGTCTAGTTTTGGGCTGATTCAACCGTTATCATCCTCACCCATCATCTTTCATGTTGGTAAGATCTTGCATATGGCATACAACCTGGGATAATAGGGGGTCGTTTAATATTTCTTCCATTTCTGAATTATAACAGTTGCCACCTTCTCACCAGCTTTCTTTCTTTTGGTCTTGTAGCCCATTTCAGTCTTGTGCAAGTCTACAATCTTGTCCCTGATGTGCTTTGACAGCTCTTTTGTCTTGTATGTGATGGTGGAGAGGTTGGAATTGAAGAAACTGATTATGTAGATAGGTGTGCTTCTACCTCACATCCATGTCCAACTTAGAATTACAAATTAAACTAACAGACATGTCTTTGAAATGCGGGAGGAATCACACAGACACATGGGCATTATGCAAATAGCACACATAAAGGACCCAGCTGGGGTTCAAACCTTTTTCTGTGAGGCAACAGACCTAACCCACTGTGCTACAAATGGGCCCTTGTAGCTGTAAAATGTTACTTCAAAGTTAAGGTTTTGTTGTTAATGACTGAAAGCACTTTGAATGTACACACACACACACACACACACACACACACACACACACTCTCTCTCTCTCTCTTAGGAACAGCCTTGAACCTACCACGTGCACTGCCGCCAGCTCTTTGATAAGTCTGTCCCGGATGTGATCAGCTGTTACTGACATGTCTACATAATATAAAAACGGAAACAAACCGATTGCAGGGTTAGTAGTTAGCCGGACCGGCAGCTGCTTTGTCACACTGGATCTGATGACTGATGTAAACTGCCACTTAAAATAAGGGCGTTATATTCACTCGTGCATTCTCGGTATATTTAAAAGAAAAATACTCTTCGACTGTTAAATCGTTGAAGATGAGAGTATTACCAAAGGCTGTGATGCTGTCGCTCCTTAGTGACTCTGTGCGGACGTCCTACTGGCGTCAGTCTTCGGCGCTAAGATCACAACAGACCGAAAGAAACACCAATTGCATTGTGACAAATTACACAGTGCCCAATCATTTGAGAGCCGTACATACAGTAGGCGGGACCAATTATTTAAAATAGCAAATCATAACACTAGAGGTCTATGCAGAAAGCCAGACTAAAGTTTTGCAGTTTCAATTAATGAATCAGAAAAGACTGCACGTATCCGACATCTTTAGTCATAGATGTGTTAGTATAGCCTGACTGGTATAAGATGTCACGCTTTTGTTAGCTACTCTGCGTCGTTACGCTTTTTTGAATTTTGAATTTTATCAGGCAGATTTTTCGACTACTAATACAGAGGCTGTTTATGTATATGTACTTTTTTTTAAAGCGACCAAGCAGTCGGAAGTGGCTAACTGTGGATGAAAAACGTAAAGATTTTGTGCAAAAGTCACGTAAGTGTTGAACAGTACTTGGAGTTATTTGGTGTGTATTATACCTGTATAATACTTTAGCATGTAGCCAATGTTAGCCACTGTGACCGATATCTGGTAAAGTCGTGATTCAGTCTTGGGCTCATGAGAGTAGTCTGCTTATGCTGTTACTATGGTAGTGGAGGTGGAAAGTTTCTTCGGGGTGTATATGCTGTACTGCATCAATCCAAAATTTAAAGGCCGTATCTACATCGGCTTCACTGTGAACCCAGAGCGAAGGATAGGACAGCACAATGCTGGGAGGCACAGAGGAGGGGCCAAGAGGACCAGCGGGAGAGGACCGTGGTAGGGCCTCGCAACTTTATACTGTACGGTGTACCGCACCTTGGACATTAGTTGCTATTTACTGTGTCCGTCTGTCTACAGGGAGATGGTCCTCATTATCCACGGCTTCCCATCTGATATTGCTGCTCTCAGGGTAAGTATCAAGACACTGTCCAATCTATAAGTGATGGAAATGAATCAAAAACTCTCAGAGCACCATTGTGACTATAATAAAGTGTCACCCAAGCCCATAGCAATAAGAGCACAGTTTCATGCGTGCACAGTTTTCAGAGTTTGTTTCTTTACATGTGGTCGTCCAATCTTCTACAGTTTGTCAGTTGGAATTTCATGCAAATGTTAGTATATAATAAATGTGATGATTAATTTGCTTTGCTTTGCTTTAAATCATTGGATTTCAGCAGAAATCTGCCAATCTGGGCTTTAGTTGATGAAATTTCCATTTGTCATTTTTTTCACCTAATGATAGTGGGTGGGTGGGTGGGTGGAGGGTATGTTTACTGAGTGATAAAAATAAATATATGCCCATTTTTCAGCACAGAAATTGAGCATGATTTTCAACCATTCAGCTCAGACAATGATCCTTAAAGCTAACAGAAAGAAAAACATGACCATGACTGCATGTGCACGCTAGACAGGTCAGATTCATGATCAAACATTAACAGCTGAAGTTTAGTTGAATGTTTCCAGAGTTCAGTTTCAATGAACTCTGGAATCTGAACTCTAGTCTTGTTTGATTTATTGTGGTCAGAAGACTGTCGCAGTGGACACAAAATCATCCGTGGCTAGTCTTAGCACCAAATAACCACAGAATAGAAGAGATAGTGACCATAGTGTTTGTGTTCTGAGACTCTGTTTTTTATGTCACAGCCTAATTGCATTTCCAATAAATCTGAAACACAAACACAACATCTCCCCTCTTCTCAGGTGTACGGTAGTTCTGATGCCTTGAAAGTTGCTGGAAATTTGGAGGTTTTGGAGTTTCAGAAAGGCTGATCTTGTGTTATGAGACAGTAAGGGCCTCATTTCTGTAGCTGGGACAATATGATTCAAAATAAAAAAATATGCTCCAGACAGCAGGGTTAGCTAGCTTTACTACTTGATTTCTCTGTTCATCCCGTCTTTGCACAACAACATGAGCAACAGAAGAAATCCTCTTTTTGCGGAAACATAGATAGCAGAGGGGCGATCCAGAGACATGCTGATAAGGTGGGCCCTGAAATGTTTAAAGACTACTTTAAACATTATATTTTATTAATGGAATTGCAGATTCCCGTCCCTACCTGAGAATGGTTCTACCAGAGGTTTCTTCCTGTTAAAGGGGAGTTTTTCCTTCCCACTGTTGCAAAGTGCTTGCTCATAGGGGTCATCTCATTGTTGGGTTTTAGTGTTTACTTGGTGGAGAGTCTTTACCGTACAGTATAAAGCACCTTGTGGCACTGTTGTCTATATAAATAGAATTGAACCAGACTGAAAACAGACAAGGTTTTAGGCACAAGTGAAATGAGGAAAATACTGCCATGAAGGGAAATAACTCAGATTAATATTTTGCAAGCTCCATCCAAGCTGGACACTGTCCTGTGTGGCTGTGTGACTGTCATGTTTCTGTGTGCCAGTTTGAGTGGGCGTGGCAGCACCCTCATTCCTCCAGGAGGCTTGTGCATGTATCTCGGCGCTCCAGAAAAGAATCGAGCCTGGAATTCCACTGGCGAGTCGTCTCCAACATGCTGAGGGTTGCGCCATGGAACAGACTGCCGCTAACAGCCCGCTGGCTCAAACAGGAGTACAGGATGGACTTTGAGCCTGGCCTGCAGCCTCCCCTCCATATCCCCATCGCTTTTGGCACCGTAAGAGCCAAAAAGACACCCTCGCTACAATGTCAGGACGAGGAAGAGGAGGAGGCGTCCATGTGTTTTCTCTGTGAGAAGCACATCAAGGTAGAGTCATCTAACAGATCAGTATCAGTGCTTTTACACATTTCTGTTCAGTTTAAACAGCAGGATGTCTTTAATGGTCAGCAGGATTAACTCATCAAAATACTCAATGGCTCAGATATTGTTTGGTTGTTTAGATACTTGTTTTTCAAATCATATCCATCTGAGCACATTGTTGATATATATATTTTTTAATCTAGGAACATTTTAAACTACTTCAATGACCTTTCTTCAAATAAACAGGCAGTGGAGAGAATGTGTGGAGCTTCCTTCTCTGCAGCAGAGCTCCTGACCCGTCCCTCTGTTTTATTTTACTTTAGTCTCAGCCAAGCCGATTTACTCAGGAACAAATAAAATACTGAAATGAACATTAAGTTATCTAAGTGAATTTTATTCAACTCAACTTTAACTTCCCCTGAGTATCCAAACGACGCAGGGTTGAAAATAATGTGCAAAGTCGGGCTCCCGACGCAGGGGAAACAACGTCTGTCGGGGATAACTACCTTGACACAAGACTGGCTCTAGTGAGCCTTGACATCCCAGTCGACTATCTACTGCTAGCTGGTGGGATGTCAGGCATCTCCCAAAATGTGGGAGCACTTTTGCAAACAGGTGATGTCTTCATAAATCGAGGTCTCGCCTGAAAATATCTTGAAAGTTTATTTTGTGTCCCAGAATCAGTAAAAGTTCAAACTTTACTTGAAATTTTAGCTGAATTTAATGTAATGTAAACAATGTAATGCTTTTGTGCTCTTCGAGGTGTCAGAGAAGCTGAGTTGTGTCCACCCTTCCTGTGGGATGAGAGGTCATGTAATCTGCCTTGCCAGATATTTCCTGAGGTCTGAGCCATCCCACCTTCTGCCAGTTGAGGGCGAGTGTCCTTCCTGCGACAGCTCGATGCTGTGGGGAAGTCTCATCCGACATAAACACGGCTGCTTCGGAGACCTGGAGGAGGTCACGCTGTCTGCAGCCCAAGTTAGTTACAGCATCTCATGCTCAGTATGTTTAGATAGAATACATTCAGCTCTCTGTTCATTACTCACTTTTATTATTTGCATGTCTCCTGTTGGTTCTTTACTAAAGCCTCTCACAAAAAGCTTTGCTCACATTGATTATGCCAGAGGCGGTTACTGGAGTCTCACTGTATTTTCGTTTTGTATTTTATTTTTTTCATGTGCAAAATTAAGACAAAATGCCAAAGCAGTGTGTGAAAACCAAGTACACCCTATGATTCAGTAGCTTGTAGAACAACGTCTACCAGCCACAACTCGGAGTAATCATTTTCTTATGGCGTTATCAGTCTCTCCCATGGCAGTGGAAGAATTTTGGCCTCTGGTGTGTTTGATTCTTTGGGTCACCGTGCTGACTAGGGTTGTTCTGATTTCACAACTTGGACACTCTCATTCCTTACACTTTAATGACACATACATATGGGGCCTTTTGAGGTGGGCACACTGAACAGGGTCCTCACCTCTGGTGCCGGTGCTGGTTGGCGCCCCCACCCACTGGCTGGTGCATTGGTGTTTCTCGGTGTCTGCGGCTGGGTGCCCGTTTGGTTTGTGGCTCACTCTCAAAGGCTGCTTTGCATGACCTGGCCCTCCTGGCTCTGATGGGCCCCTGCTTGGGTGGTGGGCGTGGTGCTCTTGGGTCTCAGGTCCTGGGCCTGGAGCTCAATCTGCTCTGGCACAGCTGGCTGCCGGCAGCACCTGCGGGCTCATTTCTGTGGCCCTGGGCCTTCTGCACTGTGGCTGCTGGCTGCTTACCTATGCTCTTCTCCAGGTAGGGGCTGCCATTGTCCTTGAAGTGGTCTGGGGGGGCCTCTGGATGTCTGTTGCCCCGGTCACCTCCTTGCCTGCTTCATATCCTGTATTAGTAGTACTGTGTGCTGTTCAGTCAAATTTCTAATTTATTCCATTTTTATTATTTATCTTTAATTGCCAGGATTAGCTCTCCACTCTCTGGACCCTCCGTTCTGTTCAGTTCAGCTACAGTCTCCCCTCTGCTCTGCACAGCCAGCAAACGGCCTGCTTATCCACATGTCCGTAATCTGCTCTGCAATAATTATTCGTCTTTTATCTAATTGCAGTTCGCTGGCTGCAATGTTAATGATAACAGACGGCTAATGTGGCTATCGGGTAATTGCTAACGCTAAACACCTAATGTTATTGTGTGTGCCAGCCAGGCTAACGTTTATGATAACTGTTTAATATTTCAGTGTTGCTGAAATGAGAGTTTTACTGAGCTCTGAATTTCCTCTGAAAGTGTTGCTCAGTGTAATGCATGTTAACTACTTCAGCTGTCAGTGGGGGGAGGAGCTGTGAGCCTAAAGTTGCCTGTCAGCTGGAGGCAAAGATGATTGACACTGTTGCACACGAGTATCTTAATTCAATGTTAATTTTAGATTCGATTAATATCGGAATAAAGTTGTTTTTTGGTGTTTTGTTGGCACGAGGCTGGTGCTGTATGGTATTCTGAGTGGTAATCTATTTAACAATTTACTACTCTGATCTGCAAACTGCCAAAACCTCTGTTTTCATAGAAGTGCTCAGACTTGATGATCAGTTAATTATGTGCATTTGAGCTTAGCAGTACTGGCTTCTACTCGCCTATTTACCTATGTACTTAGTTTTTCACACTTTGTTTCTGCATTTTATCATTTGAATCAGATGATCTTTCATTGATCTCTAATTGATAAAGACCGTATGCATTCTAATTTACGTAACTGGACATGTAGGTACAGTTGGGCCTTAAAATGTCACATCCCTTTCAGAAAGTGTGTGTGTGTGTGTGTGTGTGTGTGTGTGTGTGTGTG